GCAGGTGTCTCTGTTACTGTAATGAAGAGTCAGTTTTATTTGATATTTCTAATACGTGACAAGTGCTAAGCTGTGATTTGCTCTTAGGTTTTCTGAGAAGATGCTCAAAATTTTATTTGAAAACTGCAGTGACAGTTTTCCTGGTAAAGAACACTTCATGAATGATTCCATAGGCGAGAAGAACCAGTTGTAAATAGTTTTATAAAACAGATGAAGACACTGAAAACTATTCTGTATGTTTTTGTAGCTCTTTTGCTCTGTACTGTGTGAAGAGAATTGTTTTTCATAAGGAACTGGTAGTTGCTGGACTTGCTCAAAACGCTCTGCAGATGTACTAAATATCTTGAATTAGCTTTTTCATCTTTGAGAAAGTTGTGTTTTAAAATACCTTAACTTCATATGGAATAACATGCCTTGTTACTATATCATATACACATATATCAGTAGTATACATTACTGAATGTATGACTTGTAGAGGTACAAGTCATACATTGCCAAGAGGAAGGTTTGTGGGGTACACAGAGTGATTTCTGGTGGTCATTGTGAAATATCCACAAAAACGTGGAAAATACATTGTTATCTCATAGAAATGGGACAAACTGCTTTCTTAAGGCTTACCTGAAAGTCGCAATAAGATTTGTGGTTTGCTGCAACAAATGGTACATGGAGCACACGCAGCAATGTCACAGATACACCTAAGTATTCAATTAGAAAACATGCAGAGTGGGCAGAGGTTTCTTTGTGACATCCATTTACTTTTTCAGGCTATCCGTTTGTGCCAGTTTCATGGCAGTTGTTCCCTGCAGTGCTCGAAAACAGTGCTCTTAAGATGTCACTTTAAATTAAAGCCAAGATTTTGAATGAAATAACTTATTCATATTTCTGATCTAAATTTCAGTGGCATGCTGAGGCTAACTTCACTCAGGTTATTTTCTCTGTCACGAAGGGAACTTTATTTAACTGCTTGAGTTTTCTGTGCTTTAATATATAGAACACAGTTTATATTGGCTTACAGGTAAAAAGTGCTTGCCAGCTGGTTGCTGAGTGAGGGATCTTTCCCATGCCCATTTCTTTTTCCTGTTGGGGTGTATTTGTGGAGTAGCACACAGACAGTGCTGTTCCTTAAAAGCGATTTTCCTTAGTTTCTGGAATGAAGACCAAAACGACAGTTTTTTTTTCAGACTTTCTGTTATTTTATGCTCTTTGAGTTCCTTTAAAAAAAAAAAAAAAAAAAAAAAAAAAGGGCTTTTTTTCTGGAAGATAATTGGAGTAACCGCATGTGTGAAATGTGAAGTTGCAACCACTGCATAAGTTAAAAAGTACGACTGATGGCCCTTTCTTTGATCCTTCTGCTAGAGCAGAGCAAATCAATTCTGAAACATAAGCCTAAATTTCAGAATTTCTGTCAACACAAGTAAAGGAAGAGGGGGCTTTAAAACAAGTACTGGGATTTTCATTGAAGCCACAGAAGGATATTTTGTTCCTCTTTGTATCTTGGTGCGGCTATGGTCTAATTGCAGAAATAGCAGAGGAAACTAAGAACTGTTGAAAGAGTGCTCTCATAGACGGATGTACTAACCCTAGCTTTTCTTTGTTCCTTGGGATGCATTGTTTTCCAAATATAGTGCATAATGCTGGATTCTCTTTAGAGAATAAAGCTAGTAAAAATACTGATGGAGAAACTGGCATTGAAAAGGTGAAAAGGAAACTGACATTGAGGTGGGGACTGAGGGTAACACGCAAGCTTTCTGCAAGACTTCCAGTCCTACTATCTAAAATAAGAGCAGAGTTCCCTTGCCTGCCTTAACTGACTGAATTTTGTAAAATTTCCATCAGTAAATATTTCACCATATCAAAGCCAATCTTTGCTTTCCTCAGTTCTCAACAGCTCAGCTGGATCATCCACTAGGGTGTTGTGTCCAGCGCCATCTCCAGAGAGGGCCCTGAAGAAAAACCCAGCACCCGAGAAACTGTGAAGGACCACTGTTTCTATTGTGATTCTAATGCTCTGCAAATGCTCGGAGACACTAGAGAGCCAACACTGAATCCTGCATTCCACTAGTTAGTGTAATAAGGTGTGAGAACTGCTGGCATGCAGGTTTCTGGAAACTCCGAGTCTTGATTTACAAACAGAAAACTTTGCTGTATGTGTTGTATAGATATCCTAATTTCAGTGTTCAGTCTGAATTGCAGTGAGTTGTTCCATTCAGCTTAATACCTCTCTCTAATTTGAATTGCTTGAGATATCTCCATCTTCTGTCTTATGCTATTCATTCTGATAAGCAGTGTTAAATGGATTGCTGTTTTTTCAACCTGACATTGCTGTATTTTGTCAATAACTGAAAACATTCCAAAACATGCATATGTTTGCAAATTATTTTGAGTATGTTATTTCTTTATCACTATACCTTTGTTTTGCAGTGAAATGATTATAAAATACTATGATTATCTTTCTGAAGTGTACTTTAATATATTGCTTATCTACACCCATTCTGAGATTTTGAATTGTAGCACTGGGATAGGCAGTCTGATTTCATTTGCACTGCTTCCTTAAGTGAGAATTAAATCTGTTCAGCTGGATTTGAGATACACACGTAACAGAGAAATAACCTGTCTAGGTACTGGAGAACTTCCTGAAGGGACCTTGGAGACCATTAATTCAGCTCCTCAAAAGGCAAGGAAAGGATTAGGCCTGCTGGCAGAACAGGGTAGTGTCATCCGCCTCCCAGCCACGTCTGAGGATGGAAACTACTTGATTTCCATCCTCTCATTATCCCCAAGAAAGAAGAAGGAATTTGGTTCCTCTTGCTCTTAGAAATACAAATTTGCCCTTCTGTACAATGTCAGCTGTTTGAATTCTGTACTTTACAGACTTTTGGACTTCAGAGTGTAAGGCAGAGCAAAGGCAGCGTTTCTTCCCTAAAAGTTCTTTTGCAATCATGAATAATTTTCCTCTCTCTGGAATACTTACGACTTAAAAGTTACTCTGCACGACCCGTAAGCAATGTAACATAGAAACTAGCAGATAGAAATTTTTCCAGACAGCTCCTACAAAGGAAAGAATGAAAGAAGCCTTAAGGCACTGTTGTCTGTGTCTGAGGAGGGGGAAGGCAGTGCACCTTTGGGTGGGTGATGAAGTCTCTGTGGAGATACTCAGTGGAGACAGTGATTGCCTCATGGTAAGAAAACGGGGTTAGGTATCTGCCCTGCTCAGGCTAGTCCTGGAGCAGCAGGGTTTGTGTTGCAGTTGTGTTGGACAGCTTTGGTTTGTTTTGATAATATTGTAAGCAGCTCTGAGGGACTAAAAGCTCCTGTTAGAATAGATCTGTGTATAATTGCAATTAACTAGATTTCTGGACATCCTTACGTGATCGCAGAAAGGGAAGGTAAGCATAAAGTGAGCGTTAAGGAATGACAGATGAAAATGTGAATATATTCATTTCGTTTTTCCTTACTTCTCATTATATACACTGCAATCCAAAGTCTACATTTTCTATCCTTAATCTGTTTCTCTCACTTTTTACTGCTGTAACAAATTGCAGGAAGTAGTTGATAAGAGCAAGTTCATACCTGTGAAAATGCCTCTCCAAACTAAACAATCCATACTGAAAACTTTAAAAACATTCTGACGCGTGCATAATTTTGCCCTTCAATTTTGTCCCATCCAGAAAGAAGAAAGGCATTTAAAAAAAAAATGACAAGGCAGTTTCCTTTGACAAAAGAGTCAGGACCTTCTGTCTCAAAATTACATTTTTGTCTTTTCCTTATTTTTGCTTGAGTATGTTGAGTATGTTAGCTTTTATAGGTGGTTTACTTTGCCTTTTTAGAATGGCTCTGCCTTTTCAGATGGCTCTTGTTTTGGGGATTTTTATTTTTTTTATTTTTTATTTTTTTTAGCTTCCATTAAATTGAGGACAGGAAAGTGTTAGAATTTGATCTAATTTTTTCAAGGTTCCCCTCTAGCTTGGAGGTTTCCTTTTATAAATTAGAGATCTTGAACTTTTAAAATGGGGTAATTACATGTGATAGAGATAGAGGAAAATGATTCACTGCAAATAGAAAGAAGAGGGAAAAGTCTGAATAAAGCAAGTAATAGTGAAACCTTTAGTTTTTCCACTGCTAGTGGAAAATGGGAGCAATATCGTGTTAGCCAGGGAAAAAAGTAATCCATTTTCCATAGAAGATGGAAAAAATAAATAGTACTTTATTAGAGATTCAGATAGGGAAAATGAATTGGTTTGAACTTTAATAGTAACTCATTAGGGTTTGTTACACCATACTATATCTTACTTTAAAAGAAACTCAAAAATTTATGGCCGTTTAGAAATGCAGTAAAAGCTTTTGTAGCTAATGAAATAGGCAATTGGTTGAATTAACTTTCTTCTTCTGATGTACCTCTAAATTGTGAGGTAGTATAAAGTGGTTATTGCTTGATGCAGAGCCAATAGATCAATTTCAAACATGATACAAATAAGCAAATTGCTCTAATCAGAGATGTATTGTATGAATAAATGTATAACTTAAGTCTTTTAGAAAATGGCAGTTTTTAACCAGGGGAAATAGTATCAGTGATTACACAGTTATTTTACAGTATGATGTGTGTCCATTGGGTACTGTATAGAATCCTTTTTGTGTTAGAGTGTGCAATGAACAAACATGTGAATAATTTTGTTTTGTTATAGAATTTGCATGGCAAGTGAAATCGGTAACTAAAATTAATGTTTCCTGGTTTTTTTGCTTATGAAAAGTGCAGAAGAAAAACTACTTAAGCGTGCTGTACAACCTTTGTTTCATTCAATCTGTCTCTGACATACACTTGTGTTTTCTTTACATGTTTGTACAATAATGAACGTGCAGTTCTTGTCTCAGATGGTGACTTGTAGGCTGTATACTTAACAGATTATAAGGTCATTGGCTACTGGGAGGCAGAACTGCATGAAGCTAAGAAATATATTTGATATACTGACCAGTTCATTTTAGTAGAGTTTGCTGTTTTTCAGGTGCAGTTAAAAACCAACATTTCAAGTCAATACGTAATTCGTACACAGCCAACAAACAGCTGTCTCTCTACACTTGAATGTGCTGCTGTTGCTCTCACTATCATGGAAAAAAATAAGAATATACAAGAGGTATGTAACTAATTTCAAATACACAAGTTTTTCTGTTGTGAATAGTGGAATGGTAGCAAATGGTAGCAAAGTTACTTAGCTATTAATACAGCATTTGACAATGAAAATCGTAAGATTTATCAAACATTTGACAAGTTTATCAAGCATTTGACAGTTTTGTCAAACTGAGAAAGCAAACTAAAAAGGGACTACCAGTAGAAACTAGTTTTCTACAGCTATTTGTTTAGTATTTTGAGTTTTTATGACTCCTGTAACTCTGAAAAGTTTATTTAGTTTTCCTGTGCTGTGTTCAACATAGCTGTCAGATTGCTGGTGGAATTAGATTTACTGGTTTTGATTGCTTTGACAGTTTTGTTTTCAGAACTGTAAATGGCAGTACAATATATTTTGTCTTGTCCCATGATGGAATTAGATCGGCTCTTTGGCCACTAAGGATTGGCTTTTCCTGGAGAGAGCTCGCAGATAAAAATCTTGCCTTAATGATGTTAAAGATACCAGTAGTTGTTTGATCATCGCCTGTAAAAAAAAAAAAAAAAAAAGTATTTAGTGCTGAAATATGGATGAATGCAGAATTTGCTGTACAGACCAGTTTTGCCTGCAGTCATGCTCCATTTTGTGTTTGGAGAAGATTGCTCATTGATAACAACTTCCCATTGTTACATTCCCAACTCAGTTTCTCAGTTCCTTTTTTCTTTTTTTTTTTTCCCCCCTTCTTTTTTCTTTTCTAGCTTTACCTACTGCTTTCCTGAGACACCTTTGCAACTTTTGCAGGTCTTCACTGTGCTGTCTTAGGGATAATCTTTATCAAACTTCCATTTTGTGCTGCGCGGTTTTCAGTTTTGTTTTTCTCTTGATTTGAGTTCTGTTTTTCTTGTACTTGCTAGTCAATCTCCCTTCTTCCCTCTTTTGTTTTGACTTGTTAATTCACTATTCCTCTCTTGTAGCTTTTACATATTTTTAACTCAGCATCTCTGTTTCGTCCAGTTCGTTCTTCCCTTCTATCTCATTTTCCTCTCTCATTGCATGCTGTCATCTTATGCTACTTCCTTGCAGTTTGAAATGTCTTGGGAAGAATTACTCAGATTCTCTTAATCCATGCATTTGTTAAGAAATTGTTTGATGAAGCACCAAGTATATGTTATACTGCCCACAATGTAGAATAAAAACATGTAGAAATTAAAGACTTAGTCCAAAACTGTGCTGTAGTGTGGTGTATGTTGTATGTGCACATGGTGCATGGATGCGCTGTGATAGTTACCTCCTCCTGTGTTTTTGACATTTCTTATTGCAAAACTTCAAAACAAATGATCATAGATTGTTTACCAAGAATGTGTAGTCTAATTTACATAATGTAGTGTTGGATTGATTTCTTTTTTATATAACAGATTTTTGGAGGCTATTTCTTAACAATATTGCATTTAGATGTATTTTATGTGCAGTGTTAGCTTACTGTATGTTCTGTTGTAATATGTTGAATTTACATACTATACTCCTGTGTTACTGAAGATATGTTTACTCTGTAGTATGATTAGCATTTTGTGGCAGCAGAAAATGTTAGTAAACTTGGGAATGATTATATAACCTATAATCACATTGGTCTTTAATTTTCTTGAAGGCAAAAAGGCACGTTAGTTATTTAATTCATTGGTATTGAGGTAGGCAACGTTTGGAATTTTAGGCCTGGATCTAGAAGGTTTTGTGCCTTTGACTTTATTCTGCTTCTTTTGAACAGTAGATAAACTTAAGTAAAGTCAGTACAGGCTATTTATCTTAAATCATGCATCCTGTAAGACATTTTATGTATGTTTGCATGTGTATGTGTACCTGTAAAAGTTTACATCATTTGAGATCAAATACAAATTTGTTCAATTTTCACATCTGATTTCTCATTCAAATATTTTCACCAGTCTCTACATAGTCTGATGGGGGGAATAGTGTTATTTCAGGTGCTATCAGTTGGAAGCTCTTGAGAATTATTGAAGTACATTTTAATGTATTTTTTAAAAAGGAAAACTACTTCCAAGATGTGAGAAGTTAGGAAAATTTGCAAGTTGGCTTCAGTAAGTTTCTGTTCTTCTTAATTAGTATATTCAGGTACTTAACTGCCTTTTAAGTTCAGGTGCGATATGAGTTTAAAATTACTGAGCTGATAAAAGTCTTTGAGAATGACTGCTGGTAGACTCTAAGAAGTTAAAGTTAGTAGTAGTTAGTCTGAAAATATTTACTAAAGTCTAATGATCATGATCTTTTTAAATAGGTAAATATGATCTTCTGCAGTCAAAGAGCAGCCAGGTGTTCTGTAACTCAAAAAAAAACCCAATAGCTGATCTGGTTTGAGGTAGACAATTAGGTGTTTTAGTTCATGGAAAATAAGTTTTCCTTTGCAAAAGCTGGCTTGTAGACTACAGATGTTACAGCTAGCTTGGAGAGAAATGCTTTTGTAAGACTATCCTACTGAGCTCCTGCACTTCTGCAGGCATGGAATGCAACCCACTGGCTTGTGTCTTTGTGCTCACAACACTTAGGTGTCATTTGAGAAATTTGGGTGTAACAGTGCTTAAGTTAAAGTTTATCCTAGGTCAAAGGAAGCTAATTGGACATTAGCCTTTTCCTTGCAAGTTTTGATCACACTAGTCTATGATGAAAGAGGTAATGTTCTTTTTTGGGTGACATTTTAGTAAGCCTTTTGAAGCAGACCTAATAGTAGTTGTGAACCAGACCCAGACAACCAGAAAATGAAGAACGCACAGTTAGTAACCATTTGAGTTAAGTTGGCTTTAAGTTGCTTCATTAATACTGCATAGTATTCCTATACAGAAGGAGAGATGCAGTGTAGTCCCCAGTACAGAAGTCTAGCAACCTTCATCACGAGTCCTCTTTGTAAAACCCTGCCTCAAGTTATTTTCATGCAATCACAAGCAGTTTCTTTACTGCTACTTTTTTTTGTTATTATTATTACAATTTGGCTGAGTCACTGCAGTGACTGTAGTCAGTTGCTAAGGTCAAGTTAAAACTTAAAGAATGTGGCTGGAACTGGAGGTGAGTCTTTGTAAAAAAGGAGTAAAGAAGTGTAGCAGACAGGTGGATGTGTGGCTTTTTTTCCCCTTATTCACAAATGTTCTCTGTGGCTCCAACGATTGTAGTTTATCTTTTTTTTAAGTAGTTCTTGAATAAATGATGTTTCCAAGATAGCCTACTAGAAGATTGAAAAGACTGTTTTTTTTTTCATCTCTTCCTTCTCCCTCTCTTCCATTTTTTCTGCAGACTATACTACGACCCCTTCAAGCTTTGTGCTCTTTCCAGCTTCAGCATGGAGCCCAGATCCATCACAGCAAGGAGCATCTTCTCAAAAATGGCTTATATGACAAGCCAATGCCAAAGAATAAGCGCAAACTAAGAAGAATGGAACTTTTGTTAAATAATGTAAAAATATAGGAAAACTGTACCTACCATACAGTGGGATGTATTTGCAGCTAGCCAATGAATGTGGATCTGAATTTAATCCAAGGAGTTGTGCATACTGTAACAAAGCAACTTGGAGGCCCTTCGTAGTTAAAAAGTGTTTACCTCCAGTAAAATGAACAGTAATGGGCGAGCTCTTTTATTCTTTTGTTCAGATGATTGAAGATTACCCTAATTTCCTTTAGAAAAAAAAAAAAAAAAAAAAAAAAAAAGATGAAAATTTGGAGCTTGGTTTAGATTTATGTTATCTCTTGGATGAATAGTACCTGTTAGATTTCTTTTGGAGAAGTTTGATCACAAAACAGAATGTCAATGTAACAGACTGGGAAGACTTCAGAATTTAGAAGTATATGGAATTTTGGTAATTTTAATTTCAGAATCTAATTTTTGAAGTTTTTCAAACATTAATTCTTTATGTTATTTAGGTCACTATACATAAGTCGTGTTTTTTGGATAGTTCTTTTCAATGATGAGATTTATATTTGGTCCCTTTTGAAAATGAATGTGTATTTTACAAGGCCTTCAGATTTAGTTTGTCTCTTAAACTTAGTTGTTTAAATTAAGTCCACAGATTTTTATGTGAACCTGAACACTTCTGGTCAAACAACAACAACAAAGTAAAGAAAACAATAAAGTCAATGCAGAGAAATCATTTTTTGGATTATAACTCAGGTGCTAAAACTAAAGTTTCTCTTCTGCAGAAGGGGACATTTTATGCTTCAGACCAGCAGTATACATCACATCCATACCCTTAAAAACTCGCCCTTACTACTAGGACAGTAAAGGAGTTAAACAAGTCCCGTGTGGACGGCCCACTCAGAAGTATGGTGCAATGACAAATGGTTATTTCTGGGTACAACTTACTAACATGTTTGCAAATCCAGTAAGTTTCTGTGTGCTCTTTGACTAGTTCTTCTCTTTTACCAGTGATGTCTGTGTACTTTCTTCTAACAAGACTTGCTAGAAGCAGAGGAATTGAGTATTTTTACAAGCTTTGTGAATTAATGGTTTATGATCTGAAGGGAAAAAAAAAAAAAAAAGTTAAATAAAGGTTTTAAAATTCCATTCTTCATAAATGCCTCCATCATGGAACAGGTGAAATTGCTTACTCTTTGTCTTTACTGTCTATTCCGCTCAAGATAACAACATGGAGATAACTGTATACTAATTAGTTTTTGACAAAGGAAAGATATTTTGCTGCTAATTTTTCAAAAGCAAGTGAAAAAAAACTATGAAAGTGGGAGATGTAAACACAGCTCACCAATTGAACTGAAAACACTTCTACAATTAACAAGAGAGGTCAAAACCATGTCAGAGATAAGCTAAGAAGTTCTGGTTAACCCTAAGCTAACAAGTGACCTTTTGTGTAGCCATGGGTTAACAATTTAATTTGTCTGGCTGTGCTAGCAAAATCTGTATAACCTTGCCCCCTCCTGTTCTATGTAAGTGCTCTATTTGCTTCTAATATCAGTAAACCTGAATTAGTTTTGACACAGCTGAAGCAAAACAGTTGCAAGTGATGAATGATCTTGTGGATGAACTCTTAGGGCAGAGGAAGGGTGTGTTTATTCCTGCAGAGAGGCGCAGTGCAGTAATCTCTGTGCTAGTGTGGAATCAGAACTTGTACAACTTGCATGTGTGACACTGCCTCTAGTTCTGGGCTGACATAGCTGGGAATCCCTTTCCCCCATGCTTTTTGGGTCTGAGCATTTATAAAGGAAACAAGATTAGCAGTTAGGATTTATTCTTACTGCCATAGTAACGTATAGGTATTTATTGTATATGTTGATTTTGTGCCCCTTGTTTTAAACTCCATTAGAACAACAGTGTATCTTTTGACCTACCTTGCGCAGTCTGTTTTTGTACAGAGAAGTCTAAGTGTATCTTTCAACAGAATGAGAGCTGAGAATATATGGCGAACAGGAAGACACTTGTTCTACACACTGGGTTTCACAGACATCTGCAAAATGCCTTAGAATTGTAAGATCAGAGAAATAGTTGTCTTAATTGAATTATAATCCTGCATTATGCATACAGTCTCTGAATTCAGGTTTTTCATGTTTTTCAGCAAAGAATAAATTCTGCACAGCTTACTTCTCAGTTTTGCTGTTTCCTTGTTTTCCACTGATTTTGCTCCTGTAAGAAGGATCTGTGGATCTAATGCTAGATTCATGGAAGCCTTTAATTGCTAGATTCCCTTGTTGCAGTGCACTAGATCAATCACTGTGCAACAGTTGCTGAAGAAATGAAAAACGATTCACTGCAAACCTCCAGGCATTTTATTTAAGTTTTCTGTATGCCTTGTCACAGCTGTAATGTAGTGATCATTTAGATGCAACACGAGTATTAATAAGAAGCTCAATTTCAGATTTGCTTGAATCTGTTGAACACAAAGTGCCATATTTTGCTTGCCTCTTTCTTTTCGGTGGAACTTGTCTGGCCTTAAAAACATATGCAATAGAAAAAAATAATGGTAGTAAGTGCTTAAGAAGTTTCTTTTCAGGTGTTTTGAATTCGGAGTACCCTCTAAGCACATTACTTCAAAGAAATGTGTACTCTGTAGTCCAGACTCCTTGATGAAAGTTGTGCTTGATGAAGCAGCACACTTTGCAAGCAATTTCATTAGAATAAGTTTAATTTGCAGGGTTTTTTGTTTGTTTGTTTGTTTTCTGTAATGGTCAATCTGTTTCATTTTTCCACTTACAAAAGATTAATAAATCAAAACCAGCAGTCTAACAATTATGAAAAAAGGAATGCATTTACTTCTCATGTTTGTTTCTTTGTTCTTGTCCTCTTTGTGCTTCTGAATGCTACCAAAATGAAATTTGCCTTGTGCTTGCCTCTTGTGTTCTGCTTAGGGCAATCTGTGCCGTGGATAGCAGCCTTTTGAGCACATGTAAAAAATCTGCAATGGTGGGTATTACTAAATCTGTGTATTTTCATTGTCAGTAAGTAGTCTGTGATTAAAAAAATACATAAAGCTAAAAATCCTTCAAATCAAGAACATAAGAAAATCTTTATAAAGTTTTCAAATAAACAGTTAAGAGGTGTGCAGGGCAAGCATAAATGGTTCTGGAAGATGGTGTTACAGGATGATGAAGAAATTATTGTTTAATTTTTCTTCAAATAAGTTTCTTCAAAACTATTCGACTGACTCCAAAACTGAGAAAAACTATTTTTAGGCCTGGATTTCCTCCTCAGCTGCAGTTTTAGATAAAAGACTGTTCATGATGCATTGTTTTCCACAACCTTCCTGCTTGTTTTGAAACGTAATTAAATGCTGAACTTTTAGAAAAGGGTAGCAGTTCATGCTTTTCTCTTGAGATTTGTGTTTATTATGCCTATATACTCAAACGTACATAAATTATGTATTTGTTTCTGCTTCAAAGCTATAAAAGATCTAATTTGCTGTGGTCATGTGCTACTGGTTCTCTACAGAGTTGAATTTGTTTGCATATTCTAGTATCACAAGGATGTAAACCAAATCTTAGGTTGTGCCTCTTTAGAATCTTTCATTCAGTTGATGAATAGATGTGGCTTTTTCTGGGCCATTTCAAGAAAAGGGTTCCTTTGTTTTCCATTAAAGTCTGCATCAAGACTGATTTCTGCAGCAGTGTCTTTCAAGCTTTGCAGTTTCGGAGCTCTCCTGTCTTTCTGCAGAAGTTGTTGCTCCTGTTTGCTATCTACCATCATTCACATCTTCCCATGCTTGGTTGTAGAATCATAGAATGGCCTGGTTTGCAAAGGAGCACAGTGCTCATCCAGTCCCAACCCCCTGCTGTGTGCAGGTCGCCAACCAGCAGCCCAGGCTGCCCAGAGCCACATCCAGCCTGGCCTTGAATGCCTGCAGGGATGGGGCATCCACAGCCTCCTTGGGAAGGAAGTTCCATGTACCTGCAGCTAATGAGTTTGTTCCTTGTGTCCCCTGTGACAGTCGATCCCAACTCCTAGCAGTTCATGTCCTGAGTGCTGCTGCTTTTGTAGTTGGGGACAGATGGCAAGGAATTAAAAAGGGCAGAAAGAAGGGAAAGCACTGTGCTTTAAGAAGTTAGTTAAGGGGCTAAGGTTAAAGTTGCTTGTAATTTACAGGATAGCTGATACAGAGCTTGGTACGCATCACTCTGGCTTGGTGTCCCAACATTTTGGCTCATTTGCAGAGTATATCCCAGGGTGCCTCTTTTGTTTTACTGTTCTAAGATGCACAGAAGCGTTCTTTAGACCTATTTGGCGTCTATCTCTTCTGTCTGAGAAGGTTTTTTTATTGCTAACCAGCAGAAAAATTACTGTACCTATATGTCTGCAGTGCTTGCAGCACAATTACAGCTGAGGGTGTTGCATGCATACCACTTGGTCTGGGTCTGTGCTTGCCTGCATGTTGCACATCGTCTGTCACGGCTGTAAGAGGCAGCAGACTCTCAGCTGGAAGTAGCTTTGAAAAGCTCTCTCTGCCCATATAAGCAATAATTAAAAACCTCAATGGTTGCAACAGACCATATGCCATGCTGTGGCCTGCTGTGTCTGTAAGGACAGGTAACATGCTTAAGCTAGTACATCTGAGCTGAAACTAGTTTACCTGCTGTATGAATGCTGCAACCAAGTTGTCTGGGCTTGTATTTAAGACTAACCCTCAATAAAGATGTGTGTCAGAGAGCTTATAAAAATGTTTTAAAGCACATTAAGTCAAGTCTTTTCCCTTGTGTGCTAGTGCAACAGAGCAACTTAAAATATTTGGGAAATTAATAATACATTAATCATTTTATTTGCATAAGTAAATGCATGTATGTGAATACACATAATGTGTTTTCAATATGAATGCATAAGTAGTTGTAAATAACCAGCAGCTTTTAAATCACTTTTGAAAGAAAGAATAACTTTCTATTAAAGAAAGGTCAGTGTTTCTGTCTCCTTGTCTTCTCTTTGCTGTAGATGTTTGCATGAGTATTTGAAAATACAGCAGATGGTTAGAGGAGACTAATGGAATTTTTTTTTTCTTCTTAAATGGATGCATAGAGAAATTGGTTATGTACTCATAATTAAGCATTTGCAGAGCTGAAATCTGGGTCTGAACCTTTCCCATAACTATTAACAGTAGGCATTGAGCAAAAGTGATGTTGTACAAAATTAATTTATCAATTATGGCACTTCATTATGCTTGAAATAAACCTTTGAAGTACTTGAATTTTATACAAAATCAAATACCCTGTTTTTTTTCAGTGCTGGAATTCAGTGGGATGTTTTAAGTCTCTGCTAGATGTACCAGATATGGAAACATTGGGAAAAATACTACATTTAGATGGAACAATACCCTATTAGAATTTTACCTGGAAAACTTACAAGAATTTTCTTTTTCACTATAAATACTTATAGAGTAGAGTTGGGGCGGGGGGGGGGCCCTCCCTTGGAGTACAATAAAATTATGCAGAAATTCCATATTATTACTTGTTCTGCTTCATTCTGGATTGTAATACTGAGAAAGCCCTTCTCATAACAACCTCCCCTTAGGAAGTTGTAGAGTGCAATAATGTCTCCCTTGAGCCTTCTCTTCTCCAGGATGAACAAACCCAGCTCATGCAGCCTCTCTCCATGGGGGAGGTGCTCCAGCCCTCTAATCCAGGACCTCCTGGATTGCTAACCGTTTACTGTGTTGCTGATCACCAGATGTCTTTTATTGTTCTGGTCCCTAATTTTAGCTCACAAGCTCTCAAGCTGGTGGTGGCTTTTCTCAGAGGCAGCTATTCACAATCTGTCTGTTTCTTAAACACAGAGGGTAACTCCGTGTCCCTCCTCCCTATTCTATCTCTTCTAAAATGCTTATGGCTCTCAGTCATATACTCCATCTGTGTGACTTGTCCCACCATTCTTCTGTGATAGCAGTTAGGTCCTATTTACCTATTGCACCCTGGCTTCCATCTCCTCCTGCTTGTTTCCCATGCTGTGTGCCTTAGCGTTGAGGCACTTCAGCTGGGCTGTCAATTGTCTTACCTTCTTGAAGGATCCCCCCAAAGTTCCTTTGGGACAAATCAGAGGTTTTCCCCTGCTGCTTTCTACAGTGACATTGTTCCCTGGTTCTTCTCTGTTGCATGCACATCCTCTTCCCATGACAGCTGTCGTTTAAAGGTCTGTTAATCAGCTCAACCAGCTTGCTTCCCAGAACAAGGTCTTCCTGGTCAGTGGCATCCCATCATACATCAAGACTCCCAGTCTTTCAAAGGTATGTCCAAAGCCATAGTATCCAAAGCTCAGAGCACAGCACCATTCACACAATCATTCGATCTCTTCTCCTCCTACACAAGTCCCAGTCACTAACCAGCTATGTTTTCTTCAATGGAAGGTAGTAGTAGTCAGATATTAGCCAAAAATATTCAGCACATTTTTAGCCTTTTCTTTGTTCAGAGTAATTTTCTCTTTGAGCATGCATTTTTTAGTAGACAAAGTGTGTTTCAGTTGAAACAATTGTCAGCTTGTTGTTCTGTTTTGCTTTATTCATCTGCCTCTCTCCAACAGACAATTGCTCTTTCCTCCAGGATTCATATTGATAGCCTCTCAGTGATCAGCTAGAGTTTTACATTCTTCAGCAGGGCAAAATGAACTTACACCTCTTCCTGCAGAACTGACGCATTCCCTCCTCTTTCTTTAGACAGCAGTCATGGTTTCTTTTTGACCCCATTATCACTGTAGTCACAGATGATATTTTGCAGAGCTGTTCTGTCACTGTTGGGGCATCATGTGTTGTTGATAGGAGGTACAAGAACAGAGTTTGAATGTAAATGTCTGTTGCAGTTATTGTTCACTAGAGGTTTACTTGAGATGAAAAAAATTAAAAATCTATATTTGTCAAAAGATAAAGTATTAAAGCAAGCTTTTAAGGGCCAGATTTTGTATCTTGCCTAGGAACAAGTAACGGGAGCTCTGCATTTGTGTGCCCTTCAGAAGATGCAGGGAAGGTCTCAGCCCTTGTGCTGCACAGAATGAAGAACAGTTCCAGTTCTACATCTCTGGAGGCATGTGTCACTTCAGAGGGGAAGGGAAAGGGGCACGACTATTGTACACGTCGGAGTTGTTGTAACACTCTGTATTGCCACTGTATGATCAAAAGTGTGGATGGCTGCAGCCTTCTTTGGGATGCCTTCCTTTAAGGTTTTAAGGGTTGTGCACCAAAAGGAAGTTAAGTGTTTTTAAAAAGGAATCCAGAGAAGCATGCCCTCACTGATAACACTGTTCACCATAAACATAAGCTGGTCTGACTTACTGATGTATTCACACCATGTGTGTGAGAAAATGATACCTAATTTAAAGGGATTCTGAAGTCTGGAGAGAGGGAGTTGTGCATTTCAGGTTTTGTTTGTTTGCTTTTTAAGGTAGCTGCAATTGAATTTAGGAACAGAAAAATAGTTGTTGAAGGAAGGTTTGGACATAGAATCAGGTGTATTGCGGAGTCTGAGAGCATAATCCCCAGGATTTGTATCTTCTCTGGCTTTCTGGCACTTTCAAGTCAGAAGAAATACATTGTGAATGCTTTAAACTTTCAGAAAGCTGGGGTCAGTCTTTGCCTTAATATTCTGCTTCAATTCTAAAACAAGGTCCTTTCCTGCACTTGGCAGTGGTTTGAACTTTGCCTTTGCAAAGGTTTGGGTGAAATTCTAATGTAGACTGAATTAACTGTAAGTTTTACAGATGTCTTTGATTTCTTTGCTTACAGAGGATGGAGAACACTCTTCTGGCTCCAGATCAGTGTCTATTCGATGGCAATGGCATCTTCAATTTTATAGGTTTGTCTAGAGTTACTATCATATTAATTCCTTTATTTTGAGAAAATCCCTATTGACTACAAGTAGGTATTTGGTGGGTATTTACCTATTTACAAAAAAAAAAAATTCTGTTTGTATCAATCAATTGGTATTTACTCACTAATTTTTAGGAACTTTGCATTCTGCAGAACAGATTTCACACTTTTTATCTCAAGATGCTGTCTCTGATATGTGGCAGGTAATAGGCATCCATGAATAAGTGTCTCACAATATTTTTTTTGGTTTTGGGGTGGGGTAAGGGGTGTGGAATGTAATCCTTTTGGTTAACATTGGAACTTAATAAAGGGGAAAAAATAAAATATGACAAGATTGTTCTGCTGACTGATTTTTCCAGCCAAGCTGATGATTTCTACTGGGGAATGCCTCATGAATTATTCAGATAAGACAGAAGCAAGTGCCTCACTGTCCAATGACTCAATGAAGAAATCATGTTGGAGCCAAAGCATCCTATGTAAAATGTATGATCCTCTTAATGCTGATGTT